TTTTCCTGCTAGGCAGGCTAACAAAACAAAACAAAACATAAAGCTTTTCTTTCTTCTATTTTTTTGGTGAGGTGTGGAAGGTGTTTGTATGTATTTTAACAGATCGTGACAATTTTTATTTGGCCAGTGCAACCCTCTAGATTCACAGATGTGAGATGCATCCACTTTTAACTTTGGTGTGGAGTAGGGAGAGGCTTTGGTGTCTGTGGTGCTCAACAAACCACAATCCAAGGCCAGGAAGAACAATCCTCAGAGTACGAGTGTGAGCCTTTAACCAGAAGACCGCAGGCTGCCCACTGATGTGTGGCCTTTGTCTTAACATGATAAATATACATGAGGCTTCATCTAAATGTATCACTATGAAGAAGAAAGGACTTCTCTTTATTGTCATTGTGACAATCGACAATCTATCAACCCAACCTGTGTTTTTTCTTGGCACTAAATCAGGGGCTGCCCCCTATGTTGAATAGTCAATGAGTTATAGTCGCCGAAGATTAAGTTAAAAAAAACAATATTTTTACCCACACGTAGGTACATCTATTATTGAGGATCAAACAAGGCTGTAGCAGATGTGGTGATATAATCATTTTACTGAGCTTTAAATCCGTTTCATCTCCTTCCTGGTTCTCTCAGTTCCCTGGTCACTGTATAATTGGTTATTTTTGCACACGAACAAAAGAAGATGAGTTCATTTATCTTTTAATTCTCCAGTTTTAAATGTTTTTTTTTTTATTGCTTAGACATGAAAGAGATTCTTCAATGACCTAAAGCCTTTGTAGAATTCTTTTCTGTCCCTAAAGTTTTCTACACTGCAAAATGAAATGAGACACAAACACCTGCAGGTCGGACACTGACTACTTGTGTTTTCAGGTTCTGTTTTTGGGCTCGTGTTACCAGAGTTTATTATAAAAGATCCATGGAAATCACATGTATTTCTAAAAAAAATGAAAGCTTGTTTGGAATGTTGTGCCTTTGTTAGCAGGTTAAAATAAATAGAAAATAAACTTTACTTTACTGAGCCAGAGCCAAAGATTTGATTATTTGAACAGGTTTCCATTCAGAATTGGTTTAAATGTGGCATTTGGTCCGATTTGAAAACGCTTCATTTTTGTCTGACTGAACACTGGACAAGGATATAATGATGAAACTGGTCAAAGCTGTTGGAGCCACAGAGACCAGTCTGAACTGGTTTTAGTCGTTAACATCAGACACCTGCGGAAACAACGTCTGTCTTAGAGCTTTTTGACTCAGAGAGGAAGTCCTGGAATAACATCCTCTTTACAGCCAAAAATACACCAATAAAACAAAGAAAGTAATGGAACTCTGGAGATGCTCCACATGTCAGTCACAAGTTCCCGATGATGAAATGTCAGTGGGGGAGTAACATCTTGTTTTCTCCCCAAAGGCCCAAAAATCCAGGACATTGTGTAACTTTAACAGAGCTTCCTTTTTCTGGACGCCTCAGGGCATTCTGGGATTCTGGACTAGTCAGCAGTTAGCCGCTGGACTTTGACAGTGTTCTGCCATCTTACTGAAAACAAACAACTACACTTTAGCAAACGACAAACTGAGGAGTGTTGTCTCGAGACCCTACGTGGATTTCAGGTATTTTCATCCCGTCCAACCTTATCTCTGATCTCTGAACTTCGGGGAGTGGAAAATAATTTGGCTTCCAGAAGTTACATCTTCTCTTCACGACATGCTTGTGTTTTAATAATTCAAACCTCTACGTCGCCATGCACTAGAAAAAGCAAACAGTTCCTGGATGGGTAGAACCATGACCTGGGTTGAGTTAACCCTCCCAGAAAAGAACAGGAAGGAAGCTGTTGTTTGATTACTTCATTCTGTTCTGGCGTAGTACTGGATGCAGTGAAGTGTTTGTTTAGGCTGAGAGGATAATAAATTGAGAAGCAGGTTTAATATAGAAAGGTTAAAGACGTTCGCAGAGGTCGGGAAAGCGGAGATGGCGAGAGGAAAAGTGAGACGAGGGAAGTGGTGCAGTGAGGGAGGATGAAGATGCCGAGGTATTCAGAGAGAGACGGGGGTAGGGGGAGGAGGGTTGCTGAAAAGCAGACTGGAGGAAAAATAAAACCCAGAAAACCACAAGGTGATTTGATAACTGGACTTTCCATTGATTTGCTCTCTCGTGATGTTGAAATTACTTCTCTGAATCAATAGACAGTCCACAGCCTGAGCCTCAGATGTATGACTGCTGGGCAGAAAATAACACCGGCTAAAAAAAATAACTTCTCCACATGTTGAGAAGCAATGATGAAAAAGTGGAGACACATTTAATTCTTTGTTTACAGTAAAATAAGTGACACAAAACAAGTGTGTGACACAAACAATCTCATTCTTATGAGCACAGAGCAGAACTTAGATTATCTGGTCCACAAGCATAGACAATGACTTTTGTTTTGTGTACTTTCTAAAATATGGACTAATATATTTTATATATGTAATACATATGTTATCTTCTCTGGTACCAGCAGATGCTCAGGGTGGGATATCGATATTGGATGTGAAAAAGTGCTGTGCTTTACTTTTCCTCAAAGGTTTGGCACTCACTATGAAGTAATTTAATCATGTATATTTTCTGGAGCTCATCTTAGTACATACAGTATGTGTATTCTGTTTTGTCACTTACTGCCTACTGTAGGCTGCTGGAGTTTAAATCTGCAGAACCCAAAGCTGGTCCGCAGTACGGTGTGTATTTCAGCTTATTAATCCACAGCAATATGACACTCGTATGTGGTTAAATGAACACACACACACACACACACATACGAAGGTGGTATGGATTACCTGCCTGCTAAATGATCTGAGAATAAGCTGACAGTAAGGAGTGGAAGACTTACTTTAAATGATCTTTCTCACATAAATGAAGGGGAAAGATTATTTAGGAGAGAATATTAAAGAATGTTCCAGAAGAAAGAAAAAAAAATGGTTGAAAATCCTAAAGATAACAGTTGACCAGTAGAAACAGTAAGAGAAGTATTGAGGCGTCGTTGAGTCACCTGCCTCAACGACGCCTCAATACTTCAAAAACCACTGACGTAGTCGTTACTTGAAAACAAATATTTCATATTTCAATCAAACCACATTTGAGTTGTTTTACAAATACAATAACACAGGCTGTAAACATGTAATTAATTTGTGACGGTTAATCACACACACATTTTTCAACATGTGCGCACAGTGTTAATCCCTTTTTCCCAACGTTTAACCACTTTCTATTACAGAGTCCATACACGTGTTGTTACTCGTGTATAGTTGTACTCATTGGGAAAATAGTTTTGTTTCAGTTAGAACCACAGGCTTAAAAAAATCATCTCAACACCCAGCATGTGTTTGTTTTCTACTTTAGGTCACACGCCTGCTCACCAATGCACCGGATAGTAAATACCACCCTGATTAATCAGGATTCATTGTGATTACTACACAGCTTCGCTGTAATTAATCAGAATTGAATTGTTTAATGGCACGAAATAAACTTAATGTAGTTTTGTTAGATTGTAGACATTTTCTTAATTGTCCATGTGTTTGGTGTTAACAGGCATTGGCACACTGTTTACGGTGTAATTCAGATTTGGTCACAGATTAATTCAACGCATCAAGGATTCAGATCCTTTTGTTTTGCTCTAAAGTCTAGACTCGTCTGATTTCCATGCTTTGTGTCGAGCCTTAGACGAGAGTCGTGCAACATTTTCCTGATGTCACTCATCTTTCCTCCCCTCAAAGGCATCGTGCCTGATTACAAGAGCCCCAATTATCCTTCCAAGCCTCAGTCTGAACAATGAGAAACAAACAACTCTGCTCACAATCGTCCCCAAAAGTCCCCAATCACACAGTCGTTGTAAAGTAAATCATTCCAGGACATGGAAATGACCAGTTAGAGAAAACACTCTCAGAGTAACTGAGCAGCATGAAATCTCAGGATGTTGATTGGTTACTATGGCAACACACATCCTGTGTGAAAAATGTGATATTTACAGTTTAATGAAAATAAGAAAACCTCATTGTCCAGCAGATTTAAGAAATTCACACCATAAAAGGTGCTTAGCATGTAGCACCCATTGGCACACTAGCTGTAAATTTGTGGTACTCCGGGGTGTGTTAGCGGTGTGCTACACCACATGCTGGTTTTAGAGTTAGTCTTCCCAAAGGCAATAACAAGATAATCCTAAACCTGAGTTTCACTTCAGATTTATATCTTGTGAGTTTCATCACTGCCACCTACTGGTTTTAAAAGACAAAGGAAATTTAATGCTAAAAACTACTATAAAATAGAAAAGGTTTTCATAATAATTTGATATATTATTGATATATTATTTGATATATTATTGAGTAAATGTACCCGGAGTACTACAGCTTTAAAGTTAAACACACTGATGTGATTTACAGTACCTTTTGAATGGTGAAGGTCCGTATGACGTATTCAGCCAGAGGTTCAGTTTCTATCAGAGTCACCTTGATGTCTCCATAAACTTCCGTCTCATCAGGCCAGTAACGAACACACTTCACCTGGAGAAGGAAATAACAGAGTACACTCCAGTACATCCTCCACTGTACACAATCTCTAATAATTTACTGTGTGATCAATAACATGAAGGTTGATATCTCCTCTCCTGCACTGTGATTCCTTGAATTGATTAACTGATACAGAAATAATTGACGTCGGTTGATACTGTTTATATCTGAAAGGTGTATGAAATGAAATGAACGAATGTGACCTGTTACTATAAACCCACTTGAAGGAACAGTAGATGATAATGGACAAAAAAACACTGTTTGTTTCTGTGGAAGAAGATTTTCTCATGATCTGAATGTCACTTAGTCTACGTACGTACATGACATCTTGGTTCAACAGCGGGGCACAACCAATATTTGGCATACTGCCAGCCACGGTAGTAGAGTGTGTACTTCTTATGCCTCGTTGAGCGTTTTATTTTTTATTTACACCAACCAATTCATGGTGCGTCGTTACGTCTCTATACGGTAGTCAAATTTATTGTTTGTTCACCATTTTGTTGCAAATTGGTTCATAAGTAGAAGTTGGATGGACCTCTTCAATGTCTTACGTCCTAATTGAAGCTAAACTTGATACATTTTATTGGTGTCCAGGCATTTCTGGTACACTGGCAATACTGGTACAGATGCTCCAGTTCAGTAGGTGGCAGTAATGGCTCACAACAAATAATGAAAGGATATAGTGACTCCAAACTTAATAGTTTGACGAACAGTGGTAGAAAATGACTCCACAATGTTTTAGGTTGTTGAGGAAAATGTGTTGTTTTTAAAACAAATGACTTAAACATGATTAAACATGTGACCCTCCACCATCACCTACAGGCACAAACACATCGATGAACTTACTCTGCCCACTTCCACCAGGTTGGTAACCATGACGATAGAGGCTGAGTTTTCCTGCCAGACCATTCTCCAGAAATCCCTCACTGTCTCCTGCATTGGCCCTGACACACACACACACACACAGAGACACACACAAAGGGTTAACACAGGACACACGTAGATGACACACACTCACACACACTCTCATGTACACACCCACCCACCCACCGGTGCACCAGCACACCTCCTCTAACTGCAGACAGTGGTTCATGGGTTTGTAGTAATGGGCTCTTAAATTTGTCACAGGGGTTTTTACAGTGCAGTTCAGATTTAGGAGGTTGTGGTAATAGTCCTGCAGCCAAACGGACCACATTTACCAGGTGGCTGATGTACACACACACACACACACACACACGAACGTACAGTACATGCGCACACACACACACATGCTCATATGTCTTCAGTTTAATTACCTTGTGTGGCGATGTAGTGTCTGGGTCTGTGGTAACCCTGTGACGAGGAAGAAATGAATTTATTTTCGTTATTGTCTTCCCATCGATTTTTTCTTATCTTTTTACCTTTTTTCAAATATATTTTTTACCTTCTATACTGTTTGCTTTGCTGTATTCCTTATTTTCTATCTTTTTTCTTTATTTTCTTGCCTTCTTTGTCTCTATCCAACTGTCTTTCTTTCTTTCCTCTTCCCTTCATTTTCATTCTTTACCTTTTCCGTTACCTCGTCATCGATTCTCATCTATTTTTATCTCTTAACTCACATTTCCAGCAGCAGCCAAATTCCAACTGAAGCAGGAATCTTAATTTTTTTTTCTCTCTCCCTCTTCCATTTACAGTGACGTCCAACACTCCCTCTTCACTCTGTCGTCTCCCGACTCCATGAGACACATAACCTTGCTGAGATGAAAACATCTATCACTTTCATACTGTCATTAAGAGCTTGCTGTAAGCGTGGCGTTATCGTCACCGAGGGGGTGTGTGTGGTTGTTTGATTGAAGAGAAACATTTTGTACCAAATTCATTTAAAGTCTTATTACCACAGACAGCTGTGAGGGAGATTTAATCAACAGGCCCAGCTCCACGCCTCAGCCGCAGAGAAGAGACGAATAGAAAGTGATTTACACTCTCCGACAGACAGAAGGCATTTTGGAAAATGTTGGTGTTGGCAGGAGAAGGAATGAAGAAGAAAACATATCCCAGATGGTGTTTGTGTAGTCAGGATAAATGTCACAGACTTATAATGTTTGGGTCAGAGGTGAGGGGGAAACATACACTCACTCTCCTGCTCATTGGATTACAGTCGGGTTTTATTGCGCTTTTGATGTTTGATGCTTGCAGACATCAAACTGGTGCACCAGTCAGGACTGGTCACTGAAAACACAGTTGAAGGTCAGAAACCAAGAGATGAGAGGTTTGTCTAAACTCCTTAATTTAACACAAAAACACTTCTTCTTCTTAACTTAATCCCTTCAGGGTCACCACAGTGGATCATCCTCCATCCACCAACCATCTCCATCTCCTCCATCACTACATCCAATAATCATCTCTGGTCTCCTCCTCTTCTCTTCCTGCCTGGCAGCTCCATCTCCTACACCTTAACTGTCCTTCTGATCTGCTCATGTCTCATCCTCACACTGGTCACTCCCAGTGAAGAGTCTGACTAGAATCGTGCACCCTTCACTAAAAAGAGCAGCAGCTCCTGGAGCTCATTTAGATTCTTTTGAAAGCTGACCTCTGAGAACCAGTACTGTCCGTGTCCTACTTTTACTTCGACCAAAGCCATCAATTGTGTGAATACTTACGTCAATGTAGTTGGCGTTGATGTAGTCAGAGTGGGGGTCTCCCTCCAGCAGCTGCAGCCGGACTCTGGTGTGGTCGTCTGTGGGGTCAGATAGCACAAAGTACAACCAGCCTAAAGTTACTTTTACCCACAGATCGGAGCAGCTAACTGGCCAGGGAGTAAACCAGTGGGAGGGCCTCGGGACAACAGGCCGAGGAAGGGACTCCCAACAGCTGACTGACAAGTAATACTTCAAATGTTCAGAAAGAGGAAAACACTTTTGGCTTAGTTCAGTATAGTTTGATTCAGTTGACCGTTTCACACACAGACACACACACACACACAAGCCCTTGATGTAACATTAGAGCTTCCTAAAAATTTTGTGTGATGTAAAGCAGGTTCAAATATTCTATTGTTTGCAGACGATTACACAACTGCACATGACTCGGTTGCTTGTATGCAATTTATATAATATAATATAATATAATATAATATAATATAATATAATATAATATAATATAATATAATATAATATAATATAATATAATACTGGGTATTCTCTCCCCTGATTTCCCTTTAAGGAAATGTATTTCTGCAACAAGCTCCAACTGCACCCAGGACACACTGTACTGGGTCGATTACAGCAGTTTTGTTTAATGTCACACAGCAACACGAGTTACATAAGTCCAGTGAAGTTGTGCATCGTTTTCCTTTTCCTATCCTGGAGTCCGTCCACTATCTCTCCTTCATTTGCATTTGAAACATTAATATACATTGAATTATGTTTTTTTTTCTGCATCTGTATTTGATCAGAAAATACCAACGTTACACAGAGAACAGCTGGCTATAATCTGCAGCTGTCAGTAAAACCAACCCGTCATTATCTTTTCTCCGTATCACCTTGAGGTGAATTCAATGTGTAATGTGATTTTCTAGCTCTGACTGAGAGGCAACAAGGCATGACTCCATCTGCAGGCACAAGATCCTGCCATCACTCACAGTCGCCCCCTAACTCCCCCCTCCCCG